AAACAAAGTGGTTCGTCTGGATGTAAGAGGCGAAACGAACCACCAATTATGTTTTTTATTTTTTAATGTGTTTTAATGTTATTAACCTTTTTTAATTTGTGCCTTAATTCACATATACTCACAGTATGATTTAGTGCCTTGATCTCGTTAGTGTTGTATTGATTGTTGGCTAATACAGTTTAATTACCCAAGTATGAGGTTCGAGTAAAAATTGGGATCATGGCCCCATGGTAAGATAATTTGGCAGTGCGATTTCCTCGCTGTCAGTCTTCCAATATCAGCTGCCTGATATTTTGCGAAAGTCCAGAATTTCCTTAAATGCTCTAGAAGCTTCCATTGAGGTTCCACAAAAAGCATTCGCATGTGCGTAACACATACAAATAAGTCATGGTATCCCAGTCGTTTGTCCAGATCGGTACTGATCTTGGACCTCGAGCTTCCCAACTTAAGATTTTAGAAAGTGGCATGCACAGAGCTGCTTATGAAGGGCTCTGAGACCACATACTCGGCGTGAGCTTTAGTAGGCTTCAACAGTGGATGGACTTATTCGGACTCATAAGGAAGTAAATGACACAATAAAGTAGCGGCAGCTCAGCCACCCTGATCGAATAATCTAGGAATTTGTAGTTGGATATATTGTGCGTGTACGAACGGGTGGTGTCACTACGTAGCAAGTCAATGGAAACTTTCAGAGTAGTCCAGACAGTTTTTAACTAATGCAAAACTTCTGACAGTTGCTTACTAAATGACCTCATAGATATTCACAGCGAAAAAACTTTATTTTTCTTTAGAGGGCCATGTCCGTTTCTCAGTGAATTTTGGGTTAGGGTTCTCGATGGCTAAGGTGTAACAGTGAAATACTAGACAAGATGGTACAGAAATATCCCGCTGACGTTTCGGGCTTTGCCTCAGACTTTGAATGGTACTTTGGTCGATCCTACCATCTCAGGCTCTGTGAAAGCACACCATCTTGGCCAAAGCTCCGCAGTCATTTCTAAAACGCGACTTTCATCCTCGTCTATATGAACGCATATAGGTAAATGAATTTATTCAGGTGGTCGACCTCGGTATGATTCTCGAATACTACTGCAAAAGTGAACACATCTTCAAACATTTGGTGGGGTGAAGTGAAGCAGGTTGGTGTATCCGACGCGGAAAACAAATTCACTACTAGCGCTCTCTAATTCCGCAAACATGAGTTTTTGATGACTCCGATGATACCAAGCCTATGACTAATTCTGAAAGTTTCATGTGTGTTTAAGAAGCATTTCGATATAAATCTCCGGAAGAAATTTGCCCGCATTACAGATGGTGTTCCCTGAAACGAGCAAGATCGGATGTGTTTATAAAATATTTGGCGGCGCAACTTTCGTCTTCACCTGCCTTTACAACGGAGTGTCAGTTTCATCTATCACTGCAAACTACAGATTTGTTGACTCGCTTTTTCTTGTGAGGACGGACAATCATCCGGATCTAGGGCTTGGCAGTTAGAATTCCGCTTGCATCACCAGCCACTCGTCCATCAACCATTTTTTGAAATGGACTCCAGTATCGTTATAGTACTTGCCCTTTTTAAGCAAATCTTGTTTCAAGGGCTTCTTGTCTCAGGGAATAGAAGCTTCTACAAATGAAGCTTATTCTTAGAAGTACGAACTTCCTGGTGATCAGTTGAGCCCAAATGAATGCGGCATGTATGAACAGGAAATATTCCAGTGTAATCCTTCGTTACCGACGGAGCTTAAGTACGTTTAGAATAAAAGTCTACCAGGCAGTAGTTAAGCCGCGATGCTTTACTGCAGCGAGTACTAGCCCATAAGTTAAAAACACAGTTTAAAAAACAGTATCTCCGCTGAAATGAGGATGCTCAAATGGGGCTTCCGTCATACGCGACGATTCAGATTAAAGACGGAGACGTCAGAGCAAACAGCCCTGTTCAGCTGCAGATGATAGAGCAGCGGGTGCGATCGTGAGGACATATACCGAGAAAGACACGGAACCATCCGGTGAAGGAGCCAATGGAATTCGAGGCTTAATGTGAGCGATACGAGAAATCTCAAAAAGAATATGTTGAGACGTGATCAAGATGACAATAAGGCTGAAGCCAAAGTAACAGCAGATAAAAAGTAGGAAAAGAAAGGGTCAGAGGGAACAGTGGCGTTAATAATTGTACATCTGCTGGATTGACCTATATCTCTGATTTGAGCACTAAGTTTGTCACATCCAATATGAATAAATCTAGCTCGTCAAACTCGCAGTCTTCTAGCCGTCGAAACAAACTACCATTCAATCTGGCCTCAAATCTGCCCTGTTGATAAAAATGGTCTGACACTCCTCATGAAAATCAACAATTTGACTTTGACATAAGACATTATATGGGACCTGGCTTGCTTGTGACAGTTGGTGAATATTTGCCTCTGGTAGGATCAGATCAGGCTCACAAAAGCCTGGTAATGGCGTAAAGAATGAAGAATGAACCTAGTAGTTACTCTTCAGCGCTAAAAATCATATGGTAGGCTGCTGATTACTCTTATTGTTAGCACAGAAATGAAAGAAAACGTGTTGCTTGCTCTATGAGCTAAGATGAGTCAGTTACGTTGCCTGTAAAAGGCACACACGCCCATGTACCTGCGTTAAAATGTAATAATGAGAAAATCACGCTTGCTAGGAGCATATTTGAGGGTTCAGTACCATCGATCACACCTTTTCACAGGACTCGCGAGAGCACAGGTTGTCGTTATGTCTAACGTTCATCGATTAGAAGGAGGTTTTTTGGTACAGTCGAGACTTAAGAGGTCATTGAAGCCCTGGGTAACCAGGATGTTCAAACTCAGCACATAAGGATGCTTCGTGAGATCTGCGACAACTTCAAGGCCAGAATACTGTCTTTTTCTAGGAAGGTATTTGTCAACGTGAAGACAAAGGTTCGGCAGAACGATATCGTCTTATCCATACTTTTTAGCGGCATCGCTCCTAAGAACATCATCCGTCATCAGGAAAGAGAAATGGAATTCGCCCAATTTTTTCGTGCCGATCTACACCATACGTGGTTTGGAAGAGTAAAACATGGGACTCAAAGTCGACCGCATTATTCTTTTAAGCTAAGTTTTGCAGACTACATCGTGCTTATGTTGGCGGAAATCGGACAGGAGGAAGGAATGCTAACCGAATTGACAACACCTGTCGCAGGATGGCTCGCGACTTGCGGGGACTAAATTTTCTCACTTTTCCATTGATCTCTATCTTACTCTCTAGCTCGTCGAGTTGAGGACAATGAATATAGATAAGCTCCAGTAGCTCCTCTAGGCTGCGAATAGCTTTGTTTTAGACCTTCGACTAGGGCTGATTCACTTTCTCCTCTATGAACATGTTTGTTCCCTTAGTAGGTTTATGTACACCATTCTCAATGTAGCCCGGCATCAGTGGAACGACTCAGCTTCACATGGCTTTCTCAATTCACTTAGAGGCACAGTTCACGATAATTTTGAGGAATCCAGATTATGCTGAAAATGGAGGACAAGGTCGAAAATAGTGCAATGAAGTTGGAGAAACTGCATAGATCAGTAATTCCAAGGTGGAAAAAGGCTTCGAAAAACTGTTAAAAAGGGGGCTGGACGAGAATGGGACCAGAAAAATGAAGAAGGGTGGGGCGTTTGGACGAGCTATACAATGTGTCACACTGCGTACGGGTGGGTCCTGGTACGAATAACAGACTATAAAAAGGATAAAGGATAAAGTTTTTTGGCGTTAATCAATCCCGTCTGAGGGATGCGCCCCCGCACTCGACTTCCATTCAGAATCGTAGTAGCGTAAAGAATGCGTATGTGGCCTATACAATGACTTGTGGTGGCCAGCCGATGTACAAGTCAGTGCTTTTATCCTCCCAGACGAGTCTGGTACCAATTCACCGACCCCGGAGGGATGGAAGGCTTGGTTGGCCTAGGCGGGCATCGATCCGGGATTCGAGCCCCTGACCGTGCGTGTGATATAGTGCGCCACTTGCCACTATACCACCTCCGCCAGGCAGAGGTAGAAAGAATGGGAGAAAAATACCGCCTCATCACTCGGCGACCAGCTGATTGTATGTGGGTCTTAGAACGAACAGTTGCAATCTGTGTTGTTTCGACACTCGTCTAACGTGATGACGTAACATCAAGAGGCGGGAAAGCCATTGGCGTTTCCGCCCATCGAATTATCGTGAACAATGCCTTTAATATGCTTGTTCACCCTTCTAGGAACTCATCCGTTTGTGGATCAAGAATTAGCCCAAGTATTACTCCGCCACATCACTCTATAACCACTAACAACATTAGTCCTTCCAGACTACCAAATTCGACTACAACTCGAAACAGTGCAATTATTTACATTTATTATATACATTTTCGAACAAACAGGAGCATATAATCAAACGGCAGTATTATATGCAAATGAGGAGCTGCCTCTGTCCATCCCAGTAGTGTTTTCACTCTTCTCATCGCTGTTTGATGCGGGAAGAAAAGAAGCTGCCTGAAGTCAAGTCGAATTGCTGCACCTGCCATTGAAAAGGAATAATTTCAGAAAACCTGCTGCCGTTTGAGAGCTTCGTGAGATTGAGTGCCGGGTTGTGCGACAGCTCCACCTTGGATGGACAACCGCAGTTGTGACGAAAGTGCCGATTTCAGATTCTTCTGCAATTATTAGCCTAATATCTCTGACTATTTCATTGATTACTAGATAATAGGCTACAGTAGAGACTCAACCATACGGATACTCACCGCAAAATTACCGACAAGTGAGTTTGCGTTTGCCTTTCGCGCTTCTATTCTTGATCGGTAGAGGAACTCGCCGAGAGCTGCTATCATCGATGCTATCATACCGCCCATTAGAATGTAGAAGATTCCCGCCACTTTTGATAGATTGAGCGAGGCAGAGGACCCATCCTTGGAAGAAACGCGCAGATTAGGCCGATTTCTCTCTGTTGTGATGATAGTATGAACATACCACAGTAATGCCTTGATCACACTGCCCTCGATCATACCACCATTTATTCTCCAGCTTTTTTAGTTCCCCTCTTTCTTGAAGAGCGAGAATAGCAAGATTGATATGGTCCTTCCAGTCGGAGCCGAAAGGTGTTGCTACTCCGTAGCCGATGCTGTTGAGATTTGCTCCTGAACATTTTTTAATCTGAATCATTCGAATGATACGGAGAGGTCTACTTCTACTTACCAACTTTCATCGTATCGCACGGTTTACGCGTGTTCTCATATTCATTAGCGGTAGCTTCGAGAAGAAAAGCGTATCGTCCTTTGTGACTACGCACCCTCTCGATACCTTCGGCGTAGCTGGAGACGAACACAGAAGGCACCTGAGATTCCATGTAGCGCCACATTCTTTGGTAGATTTGCACCGATGAGTACTGAAGAAAATGTCTTTTTTGGTCACTTATGACACTTCAAAAGCACTTCTCAATTGTCTAACCTTGAAAAATGATGCTGTCGAACCACCTCCTTGAATTCCATATTTAATTTTTGTCTGTTTGGCTAGGTCTTCAACACTTTCAATGGGTGCCTGCATTTTTTCGAGAGTAAGAAATGCGGCTAAGTTGGCAGTGTATGACGAGACGATGATCATGGTGAAAAACCACCACGCGGATGATGCAATACGTCCGGAGATCGATCTAAATTCAGAGCAAATCAGACCCAGTTCCTGAGAAGGTTGTTCGTCAGGATAGTACCAGTTAAGAGGTCGCTAATCAGAAAAATTAGGATACCACCCTTGCGAAAAACTCTCTATTGAGCTACTGAGTTGTTTTCTTTAACTCTTCACGAGGTTTGTATACAAGCTTTATTAGGCTGACGTTTCGGGTTACAAGTGAGGTTACACGGCGATGCGATTATTACGAAGTGGTACAGAAAGCCCAGCAATAAAAATTTCATTGTCCATTATCGCTCAGCTCATCCTTTTTACATAAAGCGAGCGGTTGTTAGGAATATGTTCCGCACCGCTAAGAAGGTTTGCACTGGGGAGGATGAGCGAAAAGAGTCGATTAAAATGGCATGCGATATTGCTGAAATGAATGGCTACCGCAATTTTCCAACCACAAGAAGAGCACCTTCTGGCGGCGTGATCCTCAGACATGGTAATACTTCGATCGATGGGAAGATTCCTTTTGTATTACCATTTATCTCTGATGAGGTCAGTGCCACCATTAGGAAGTGTCTAAAGAGATCGGGCTTGGAAAATGTGGTTGCTATTGTTAACGTACCACCCCTCAATCTAAAGAAGCGCCTGGTTCGGAACAGGCTGTACGATCGCCTACGTAC